TTAATTTCTGAGGCTCACTAATAATTTCCCCCATTCTAATTCATTTCTTGGTAATTTGTGTCTTCTCTTTTTTATTTATCAGTTTTGCTAGGGATTTATCCAGTTTTATTAGTATTTTCCAAGAATCAACTTTGATTTTGTAGATTTTCTTTAGTATGCTTTAAATTTCTGCTTTCATTTTCTTCTTTCTTTGGGTTTAATTTATTTTTCCTTTTAAAAAAGTCTTTGGTGGATGTTAGAATGTTAGTTTTCAGCTTTTTTCCTTTTCTAATATATGCATTTAAGACTATAAATTTCCCTCTGTGCCGTGAGCCACATCCCACATTTTTGATGTGATTTTTTTTTTTTGAGACAAGAGTCTTGCTCTGTCATCCAGGCTTGAGTGCAGTGACACAATCCTGGCTCACTGCAACCTCTGCCTCCTGGGTTCATGTGATTGTCCCACCCAGCCTTTCGAGTAGCAGGGATTACTGCCACACACCATCATGCCCGGCTAGTTTTTGTATTTTCAGTAGAGATGAGGTTTCACCATGTTGGCCAGGCTAGTCTTGAACACCTGAGTTCTAATGATCCACCTGCCTCGGCCTACCAAAGTGCTAGGATTATAGGCATTAGCCACCATGCCCAGCTTTGATGTGATATTTTTACAAGCATTCAATTAAAAATATTTTCCATTTTCACTACAATTTCTTCTTTGACACTTGGATTATTTTAAAGTGTAGTTCTTTTCAATAACAATATTTTTATTGATTTCTTAGTTACACTAAGATCAAAGGATATATTCTATATGGTTTTAGTCTTTTGATAAAAATTGAGATTTGCTTTGTGTTTCATTATATGGTCAGTTTCAGTAAGTATTCCATGTGTCTTTGAAAGTGTTATGAATTGTACAGTTGTTGAGTGCTGTGATAATATGTATATGAATTAGATCAAGTTTTTAAACATGTTTCTTTTCTGTATCTATTGATTTTTGTTTGCTTGTTTTATCATTTACTATGTTAATGTCCCACTAGGATTGTGGGTTTGCCTGTTATTGTAATTGTTAGTTTTTGCTTTATGAATTTTGAAGATGTTATTTGCATAAAAATTAGAATTTAAAAATCTGCGTAGTGGCTCAACTCATCACCATAAAATGTCCTTTTTTTCTTTTGTCTCTTTAAAAATCTCTGGTGATACCTCCTAAACTCTATTTTATCTGAATGGATAGCTATGCCAGTTTTTTGGGTAGAATATCATAGTATGTATTTTTCCCTTCTTTTGCTCTCAATCTTGTGTACTTATATTTAGTGTATGTCTCTTTTAAGTGCCATATAGTTAAATAATGATCCCCACAACACCTGTCTCTTAGTTGTCATTTTGTAATCTATTTATATTTAAGTAAGTTCTCATACTTCTGGGATTATATATAAATCTTATTATTTTCTGTTTGTCTCATCTGTTGTCTCCTTTTCATTTGTTTTACATTCATGATTTTTAAAATTTTTATTTGATTTTTAGAGACAACGCTCACTCTCTCACTCAGGTTGGAGTACAGTGGAATGATCATAACTCCTGTAGTAACTCTTAGGCTCAAGCAGTCTTCCTGCCTCTGCCTCCTAAGTGGTTGAGATTGCAGGCACATGCCACCTTGCCTGAGTACTTTTTTACCTTTTGTAGAGATAGGATCTTCCTGTGGTGCCCAGGCTACTCTGTAACTGCTCCAGCTGTCCTCCTACCTTGGCCTCCCAGAGTGCTAGGAATACAGGCATGATCCACCACACTGGGCCAATCATATGTATATATTTAATTCCATATTTTTAACTCTTCTATTAACTTGTTATAATTTTTAATTTATTCTCTCTCAGTTGTTGCTTTATTATGACATGAATTCATAACTTATTATACTAATAATAAATTAATACTTTACCATGGCCTGGATAACACAAGGGCCTTAGAATGCTAACTTCATTTATCTCTTTTTGCTGTTGCCATGCATTTTAATTCTACATATATTTTAAACACCACAAGACATTCCTGTTGTTGTTTTGTAAAGTCAGTTTTCATTTAAACTTACCCTTACTTCTCCTTCAGGAGCTCTTCCTCATTTTCTGCAGTTTTTTGCTTATTTCTATAATCTTTTTCCTTTTACCTGAAGAATTTCTGTTAGTATTTTTTTTAGTGACAATCTACTATAAACCAATTCTCTCAGATTTTGGTTGTTGGAAAGCATGTTTATTTCACAATCGTTTTTTGAATGATTGTAAAAAGATTGAAAATTTACGTAGAATTTTAAGTTACCAGCTACTTACATGTGGCACTAAAGATGTTAGTTCATTGTCTTCTGTTTTCCATTGTCCATGCTGTAATGTCAGCTGTCAACCTGATTGTACTTCTTGAAAGTAGTGTGCCTTTATAAAGAGTTTTGTCAGGTTTTCAGGAATTTTATGTCAATATGACACTTTGAAATGTGTAGATTTCTCTGTATGTATCCTTGGTAGGTGTGTCAGGCTTCATGAATGTATGATTAGATGTATTTTGACAGTTTTGGAAAATTCTTGGCTAGTATCTAAAAATATTTCTCTGTTACAGTCTTTCTTCTTTTCCTTTAAGACTCTACTTACATGGTGCTAGACCTTTCCACTAGATCCATTATGTCTCCTCAGTTTTTTATTTTTCATTTTTTCCCTCTCTTTGCATTAGTGTATTTTTTTACCAATCTTCCTGTTCACTAATCTTTTAGTCTGCTGTATCTAACCTGTTGTTAAGTTCATCTGTTTAAAGTCTTCATTAGTTACTCAATTTTTTAGTTCTGTAATTTTTTTTTTTTTTTGAGATGAAGTCTCTGTTGCCCAGGCTGGAGTGCAGTGGCACAATCTCGGCTCACTGCAACCTCTGCCTTCTGGGTTCAAGCAATTCTCCTGCTCAGCCTCCTGAGTAGCTGGGATTACAGGCGCGCCACCACGCCCAGCTAATTTTTTGTATTTGTAGTAGAGATGGTGTTTCACCATGTTGGTCAGGCTGGTCTTGAACTTCCGACCTCGTGATCTGCCCACCTCGGCCTCCCAAAGTGCTGGGATTACAAGCATGAGCCACCGCGCCCGGCCAATTCTAGAATTTTTATTTCATTCTTTTTTATAGATTCCAATTCTCTGTTAAAATCTTCAACTTTGTCTTCTTTTTCCGTGACATATTAAATAGTAATCATTAGTATTTTAAAGGCTAGTATCTGGTAACGCCACTACCTGGGTCACCGCTTAGGTCTATCTGTATTCTGTTTTGTTTTGGTCATTTGGTCCTGTTTCCTAGTATGCTTGATAACTTTTGGTTGATTGCAATATACTGTGAATTTAAAATTATAGTGGCTACATTTGATGTCTCTAGAGAGAATTTGTTTTTCTTCTGCCAAGCTGTTAGAGAGCAAAACCCATCACCTAGACCCAGGCTAGGATTACGGTGATTCTAGGTCGGTTGTAAAGACTGCTGCATTTCATTTTCGCCCTTAGACTAGGGTGTCTTCCTCCAGGAGATTCTATTGAAAGCATAGACTAATCACCAGGGTTTCTCCTCAGCAGGCCTTCCACTCCATTTGTCGTTGTATTTTTATTTTGTGTTTCCTCAGCACTATGAGACTGCTAGGAGCTCTGCTTTGCTTTTTAGCCTCTTAGTTACCTCTTTCTGCTTGGTTCCTAGACCTTTTGCTGCTCATAGCATAGCTGTTGGCAAATCCCTGGAAAGGAAGAGCAGTGAAGAATATTCAACTCACTCATTGCATTTCCCCTCTCTCCAGGGTCTTGGCCTCTTCCAGTCCTGAGTGCCTTGGTTCCTCTTTGATGCCTTTAGAAAGCTGGGCTTTTGTTTGTTTGTTTTCTGGCTTGTTTGGAAGGAGGTTGGTCTGATACGTGCTACTCCAATTTAGCCAGGGTTTGTACAAAGTTAACCTCCTTAACCTTTTTCACATTTTATGTTTTCATGTGCTGAAGAGTAAATAGCTTAAATGAGGCAACTTGGCTGAAGAATTTGGTACAGTGTATGTCCACGTGCTTTATTCCTTTTATGTCAATAAGTAGCCAAATTTTTAAAGCAGGAGATGTATTTCCTATCTTATTTGCCCTATAGCCCATACACAGTCTTGTTCACTGAAGAAATACCCTAATGTTACTACATTTATATAATAGGGATTTTCTCTTAGCATAAGAAATAGCTGTAGAACAAACCAAAAACAGGTATTAAGACTAATATATATATATATATATATATATATATATATATATATATATATATTTTCACTCCCTGTTGCTTCCAGTTTTTGTTGAGGTGTTTTGAAATATATTTTTAGAGGTTATAAATGACTCTAAATCTAAAACATTGTAATATATGTTGAGAACTTGGACTTTTTTTTTTTTTAACTTTGTTGCTTCTATTCCAGAGCTTATGTTATTAGTGGCTTACTATTTTTTAAACTGCTTCTCAGTTTACTCATCTGTAAAATGGCAACAATTGTATTACCTAGCTCAAGGGATTGGGAAAAGCATTCAATGCTATATGTTAGTCTGATTTGGTTGCCATAATAAAATATCATAGACTGAGTGGCTTAAATCACAGAAATATATTTTCTCATAGTTCTGGAGTCTGAAAAGTCCAGTATCTTGGTTCTGGACAATCCAGCCTTTGGTGAGGGCTCTCTTCCTGGCTTGCAGCTGATCACCTTGTTGCAGTACCCTCCACAGCCCTTTCTCAGTGCATGGGCATACAGGCTGGAAGAGGGAGATAGCAATCTTAAGACCACCAGTCTTACCAGGTTAGGGCCCCACCCTGATGACCTTATTTAACCTTAATTACTTTCTTAGAGACTCTATTTCCAAATATAGTCACACTGGGAGATAGGGCTTCATCATATGAATTTTAGGGGCTACAGTGTAGTCCACAGCATACTGCAATACATGAAAGCATTTAAAATAGTACCTTAATAAATTTGGTTGTATGGTAGAGATGATTCTAACCATTTTTTTTTTCTTTTGTAGGTGCTGACTTTGGGTTACTTTTTGAAATACTAGGAATGGTAATTTCTACTTTTCTGGACTTCAGACTAAGAAGTTAAAGAGAGTCCTCTGTAACAAATCTCTTCTGCTGTTCTTCTGCATTTGGAGACTCCTTTATTTCACCATATCCAAGGAGTATATAACAAGTGCTGTCATTATGAATGTGACAAGTTTATTTTCCTTTACAAGTCCAGCTGTGAAGAGACTTCTTGGGTGGAAACAGGGCGATGAAGAAGAAAAATGGGCGGAGAAAGCTGTTGATGCTTTGGTGAAAAAACTGAAGAAAAAGAAAGGTGCCATGGAGGAACTGGAAAAGGCCTTGAGCTGCCCAGGGCAACCGAGTAACTGTGTCACCATTCCCCGCTCTCTGGATGGCAGGCTGCAAGTCTCCCACCGGAAGGGACTGCCTCATGTCATTTACTGCCGTGTGTGGCGCTGGCCCGATCTTCAGAGCCATCATGAACTAAAACCACTGGAATGCTGTGAGTTTCCTTTTGGTTCCAAGCAGAAGGAGGTCTGCATCAATCCCTACCACTATAAGCGAGTAGAAAGCCCTGGTAAGTGAGTCCTCTTATGTTGATCTGCTTTGTGTGCCCAGTACTGGATTTGTGTTGTTTAGAACATCAAAATAATCCCTTTCCTTGTTTTTAGTTATAATTTAAAAATATTCATGGAAACTGTGTGTGTGTCTGTAAGAGAGAGAAGGCCTGTGAGTATTTTGTACATTTTAACAGCTTTGTTATCTCTGGTTAACATTATGTCTTAGGAGCAGGCTATGACAGTTGTCATTGCAGTTCTAATACCTCTAATTTTTAACAAATTTTCTTTCTAACTTTATTTTTTTATGTCTCACATGGTTCTCTGCATTTCTCTAGATAAAACTAGCTATGGGCTGGGCGCAGTGGCTCACGCCTATAATCCCAGCACTTTGGGAGGCCGAGGCGGGTGGATCACGAGGTCAAGAGATCGAGACCATCCTGGTCAACATGGTGAAACCCCGTCTCTACTAAAAATACAAAAATTAGCTAGGCATGGTGGCACGTGCCTGTAATCCCAGCTACTCAGGAGGCTGAGGCAGGAGAATTGCCTGAACCCAGGAGGCGGAGCTGAGACCGCACCATTGCACTCCAGCCTGGGTAACAAGAGCGAAACTCCGTCTCAAAACAAACAAACAAACAAACAAACAAACAAAAAACTAGCTATGAATTGTATTCTTAGGGAAGAAAATTAGAAGTACAGTATTGCTGTCTATATGCTTAAGGGAAGTACAGCATGAGGGCAGTTGCCAGGGACTTCAACCATTTTGAACTTAAGAGCAGCACTTTTTTATCATCTCTGGTGGAATTTTGCTGTGGCATATTTCCTGTAGTGAATATAAAGGAATTCTATTCTTCTGTGGAATCATTTGATACTATTACTTTATAAAATACACCTAGTTTTTATATGCGTAGTCTTTTGAGAGGTATGGTAAAGGACATATATCAAAATTTGTACAGTTTTGCCCTCAAGTTAGAGTTTGCATTCTAGACAGTTGGATCATTAGAAAGTGATTAGATATTCATGCACTTAAATGTCTCATTGTCAGATTGGGACCAATTTTATTGACTGGATTGGCTGTTAATAGTTACTGGGTTACTAAGGCTGTACATCAGAATCATATGGCTCTCCTCCCAGACATCCTGATCCTGGAATAGCCTGATAATCTGTTTTTAACAAGTACATCAGGTGTTGCCAATGTCTATTGAATTGGTGTTTGGGAATTGCTAAACTAGATCATGTAATAGCATGGTTTTCAAATAAAAGGCATTCTGTAGTTTTGTGGAATATTTAAGACATGTCCAAAAAAAAAAAAGGGATTTTAAAGACTAGAGAATAGTATAACAAGTGTCTTTGTATCCACTACTTATTTTAAGAAATAAAAGATTACGTGTAAACTGGAACCCCTGTTTTTGCTTGTCTGACTTTGCTCTCTTTGATAACCACTGTTCTGAATCTGACGCTTATCATTCTCATGCATGTTTTTATATTGTTATTACATATGTATGAGTCCATGACAATATGTAATTTTTTTATATTTTAAAATGTTATGTAATGATACTGGAATTTCCTTGTACAACTTTTTTATGTTTATACAACATTACGTTTTTGTGATTTCTAGATTATATACTTTAGGATTTCCTTGTTAAGTCTTGTGACTTTGGGAATTTATTGGAATTTCATTGATTTTATTTGGGGAAGATTGACATAGTATGCTCTTGAGCATAATATTATGTAGTACACTTCTAAGTTTCTCCGTATACCTCTTGCACATCTTAGATTTCTTTCTAGATAAGTCATTTTTATTGTATCCTTTTAAAAGTTATATTTTGCTGCAGTTTTTCTTGGCTAAGAGAGTATTGCCTTTTTTCTAACAACTCTGCTGAATTCTCCGTACTAGTTCCAATATAGACATTCTTTACTGCTTGTTATATCAGCTGTGATGCAGTGTTCTTTTTTCTCAACTCAGCACAGAGCTACATATTCCTCTTCTAGCCAGAAATGGAAATGGAGCTAAGAGTTTTGAAGAGTAAAATGTATTGTATAACTAATATGTACCAGCAATGTTATTTAGGGACATGATTTTTTTTGATCCTCATAGTAAATTTAAAAAGTATTACTATATAGGGAAGACTTTAGTTCTACTGCATACGCAATGAAACGGAGGCCCCTACAAATTAAGTGCCCTGTGTTAGAACTAGAAAATAGAGGCATTTGACCTGAAAACCGGAATTCACTATTTAAAAAACACTGTGAATGTGTCTTCTCCATCCACATTCCCCCTCACCCTGCACTAACTTTCCAGCATTTCATCTTGCAGTGCAGCCCCTGCCTCCTGGCTGATCACCCACTTCAATCCATTGTCTACAGAGAGGGATCTTTTAAGATGCAGACATGATACATGATCTTCTTCTCCTGCTTTTCATTGCTCTTGGGAAGTCCTCTAGAGAGGTCTGCACATTCTGGTCCTTGCCTCCCTTTCCAACTTCCTTTGTGCTCTTGCATGCCTTGTGTGCTTGAGTTTAGTAGAAACATTCCATGCACAAGTTTCTTCTGTCTGTACCTGTTTATCTTCCCTCTTTGCCTAGCCCACTCTTATTTATCCTTCATGTATAGCACATGGTCATTACTTAATAAATTAAATAATTGTGTCACGGACATCAGTTTCATTGGGAAACCTTTCTTGATACTGCCTTCTCCACACATATCTCCCTTCTCCACTTGGGCAGATTAGGTCTCAGTTCCCACAGCAACCTGAATTTCTTTAGAATGTTCTTCACACTTGTAATGATTGTTCTGTTGGTCTTCCCTGCAAGATAGTAAATAAAGCTCCATGAGGGCAGGGACTATGTATATTATTAACATCTCTATTTTTAGCAACAAGCTCAGTTTGATAAATTTTAGCTGTTATATGATGTTGCTGATTTTTCATTTAATATAGTCATTTGGCCATTTTTTTTTTTAGAGCTGAATTTTCTGTTTATACCTTTTGACCATCTTCTTCCCTTCTTTGGTCATTTTATGGCTATTACACCTCTGATACAAGGTGAAAAGTTAAAACCAATACCGAGATTAATTTTTTTACTGTTAATAACATATGAGCTAATAAAATAATGGGGAAGAGGTGGAAAACTGGCTTATGTAGGCATTTTGAGATTCCATAAATGCCATTTCAGCCTCCCCTTTACCCAGGAATCTTCTGAGTCGTGGATAGAATAGAACAGTTCTGGAAAACATGAAGCCTGAGGCTAAGATCTGTTTAATTTGAACACACCAAGATTTTATGTATATTTTTCATATTGTGAAGTGACTGATGTGAGAACTGGAACAAAGAACTTTTCCCAGAGACCACTATGAAGCAGTCCCTGTACCTTTTAAGGATAATTACTAAATAAAAGTGCAAGAGGCAGCCAGGTATGGTTGTACATGCCTGTAGTCTCAGCTACTCAGGAGGCTGAGGTGGGAGGATCACTTGAGCCCAAGAGTTGAAGGCTGCAGCACACTATGATCGTGCTGTAAATAGCCATTATACTCTAGCCTGGGCAGTGTAGTAAGACTCTGTATCAAAAAAAATAAAGTTGAAAAACAAGTGCAACATAGTAAAACCCTGTCTCTACTAAAAATACAAAAATCAGCTAGGTGACATGGGAGCACCTGTAATCTCAGCTACTCTGAAGGCTGAGGCAAGAGAATCGCTTGAACCTGAGAGGCACAGGTTGTAGTGAGCTAAGATTGTGCCATTGCACTCCAGCCTGAGGGACAAGAGTGAAAACTTTATCTCAAAAAAAAAAAAAAAAAAAAGTCCAAGGGGCCTTAGCCCCTCACACTGCCAGAATTGAAGAGTTATTTCCCCCTATAAAGCCTTATGGAGCACACCTGGATATTGTTGTGAACTCAGAAAAAGGGGGTGTGGGATTCTAATCTGTACATAGACACAGCTCAACACTGAATTATTTTGAACTTTGTCACTGTTTTACCTCTGATGAAATATCTCAAAGAACAGTTTAGCAGTATAACATATTAAGTCTCCCAAACTTGGTGTTTTCTGCTGAGATCCCAATGACTCTTGAAAGAAACTCAAAAATTGAGAATATTTAGAAGGTTTAGATTAGTGGTTTTCAAAGTTCTGCAGACTAGTAGCATCAGCACCAGCTTGGAACTTGTTAAGAAAAGTTAATTATTATTTTTAAATTGAGAAATAATTGTATATATTTGTGGAATAGTGTTAGGTTTTGGTACATGTGTACATTGTGGAATGATCAAATGAGGCTAATTAACATACCTGTCACCTCCAATGCTTATTTGCTTATTTCTTGTTTGATTTTTTTAAATTTCTTTTTTCACTGCCTAGTCTCTGAACCTTTTTTGTTTTTTTAATTTATTTTTTCACCATACTTATTTCTTTGTGGTGAAAACATTTAAAATCCACGTCTAGCCTGGGCAACATAGCAAGACCTCCATCTTAATTTTTTTTTTTTTTAATTAGCTGGGCATGGTGGCATGTGCCTATAGTCTTACCTATTCAGAAGCTAAGTCAAGAGGACTTGAGCCTAAAAGGTCAAGCCTGTAGTGAGCTATTATCATGCCACTACACTCCAGCCTGGTAGGAGAGAGACCCTGTCTCCTACTCTTTTAGCAACTTTGAAATATACAATATATTATTAACTATAGTCACCATACTGTGCAGTAGATCACCAAAACTTACTCCTCCTAACTTAAGGTTTGTACCCTTTGAGCAACATCTCCTCTTTCCATGTTCACCCCTCCCTGCAGCCTCTGGTAACCACCATTCTAATTATACACTCTACTTTTATGACTCTTTTTAAGATTCCACATGTAAGTAAGATTATTATGCGGTATTCCTGTGCCTGGCTTATTTCACTTAATAATGTCAGCCAGGTGTCACAAGTGACAGTTTCCATTTTCTAAGACTAAGTAGTATTTAATTTAAAAAACTTTCAACATCAGTAATCATCAGGGAAATGCAAAAACTGTAGTAATATATACCTCTCACCTGTTA